ATCATGCAACTCACCTCATGGCCACAAGCTGACTTCTCTACATTAAGTCAACTCATCTTATTCTATGCATGACAAAAGGAGTAAAGAGCCACTCCGTACACTTCTGTCTCTTTTCATAAGGAAAATAAACTTATTAGAAGTCCCACCCAGCAAACTTCCATTTAGATCTTATTGACTGGAACTGGGTGCATGTCTACCCTAAACCAATAACTCATCAAAGATATCAACATAATCATGTTACATCTAAACCAACCATGACTTATCTCATAAATTAAAGGTTTATTGCAATTAGCTGAGTAAGTCAGAATCCTGTTGGCAGAGAAGTGGGACTGGGATGTTGGGCAGGCAGCACACAAGTCATCTGTAAACATCTTCTCTGTTGTTTTTCCTGTGTCCTATATACTCAATAAATCACAATTTCCACTCTAACAGTCCAAAAAGATATTTTCTCCTAAGTACAGAATAAGCAAGTATGATGCCTGAAGAAATCCTAAAATTACTTCATATTTCTTCTTTGAGAATTCCCTTTTCAGAAATAAAATGTCCAGATTATGAAAGAAATAACCTCATCTTTTCAGTGCTGTGTACATATAAAAGGATTTTTTAATATTGCCTTCAGATATATTTAACAAAATGAAATCTTCTGAGATTTACTGCATTAGTCAAGTATTATCAAAACACAACACGACAGATTGCTTTCCTTGACGCCTGCTGCTAGGTTTTTGTTAACTTATGTTTCTGAAATTGTAACATCCTAAGCCAATGTTGCACAGAGGTATTTAATGTCATTTATAAAAATCTAGTAATATAAACTGTTGACTCCTTATAAAGCATCTGTTAAGACACAGAAATATCACTGAAGCACATTTAAGGATCCTTGCCAGAAGGGCAACTTGTTCCTTGGATTACAGAACAGAAGACCAGTTCTTGAGGCAGAGCAGCTCAAGCTCATCTGTGGCATCCCATTCTAAGAGACTAACTGGCACTTGCACCTCTTGCCTTTTTATTTTGTTTTCACCCTTAAAGTAGATCTCAAATTCCTATTCTACTCCAAAGTGAGCAGATAAAAGTTCTGCACTCCTCTAAGGAGTCATAAGAGGGAGTCCCTGAGGAAATGGCACTCCAAAGTGATAGTTTTGATGAGGGATAAATCAAAAAATGATACACATGAACAATGAGCACATTGAAGATTGTCAGAGACAGGCACATTCATTTAGCAAGAGAACTGAAAGATCTCTTGAAAGCAAGATGATGTTCAAGTTCTGATGTAAACCTAGCTGCCTTTGGCATTGGCTATGGAATGCGGCAGCCAGACTGACTGAAGATATGTGGTGATAGCAGACAATAGTTTAAGAGCCCAGGAGAATTCTTAAGCCTGAATTCCAATCTTGAGTCTGCCATTTAATGGGAAGGCATTTTGAAGCCATCACCTGACAGCTCTTTCCATCAATTTCTCTATTCCAAGTGGGACTCCATTTCCCTAAGGATCCCTTCATCTTTAAATATATATGAACCTGCTGAAGCAACTGTGCTTTGATTGCTATAGAATTTTGAACTGATTTTAATGGAATGACTGATTATTTAGCAGAACTTTGCTAGGTTCAGTGCATTATGAATACATGAATACAAAATGTACAACAGGGATTTTAAAACATATTCCCTTCAGTTAACTTCACCCTAAATAGATGGAAGAGAAATATACCTGTTCATGTTGTAAAAAGTACAATTTTCCTAAACTCATACAAAGAAAGCTTTCTAGTCAATACCTTAGAACTCAAAGAGACTTAGGGGAGACTTAAAGCTATGAGTGAGGTCAAAGGAGAAGGCACATGGGGACAGAGATGTAAGCTCCTAGGAAATAGCATGTAGTGCAGGACTGAATGTAGGTCTGGGAATCAGAATATTAGAGATTCACTTGAGACCTTGAGAATGTCTGGCCAGTGTTAATCATTCTGTGCCTCAGTTTCCTCACCTGCTAATTAGAGTTAAAGTCTTTGACTGGGTGCCCAAAATTGTGAGAACATACTATGCAGGACCATAAAAACACAATCAGTAACCAAAATGCAAAATATCCTAATAAATAGAGTACTAAATTAAAATGGAAACATTAACAAAAGTAATTCTTTTAATAATCAAAATGTGGATGTTTTAGGTATCTACCTGGGTGAAAATTATCTAAGACTATTTCACACAGCCTTACATAAGCAAAAGGAGTTCAAATTTGAAGTAGGAAAAGTGCCAGTTTTGCTACTTAGCATTTGGCTGATCTTGAGTTATAACTCCAATGGTACCCTCATTTGTAAGTTGAGAATAATGGCATTCATCTCTGAGAACTACGTAAAGATAATTACAGATGGAAGTTAGTTCTTTTCAGCTACTGGTGAAGTTGGAATTTACAGCCACCATGTACTTTGCAGCTGATAGTTTCTCTTATTACAATTGCCACACAGAGCAAGGAGTTTTTTAATGGCACTATTTATTGAGCATTTACTATATTGTAATGTTCTATCCCCATGCTAAGCACTTTACATACACTATATCGCGTATTCTTCACAAAAACTATTACTGCTGCAGAAACGGAGGTAGAAAGAAAAATAAGCTTTGTATCTGGTCCCATTATCTCTCATTAATCTATCTTGCTTTCTTTTTTTTCAACTTAATCTAATCAGCTATACCTTTCATATTCTTCAAAGTCATCTTGTATTTTCAGGACTAAAGCAGCAAATAACTGAATATATCTATATATATTTACGTAACATGTTATTTTTGTCATGTTGCTGTCTCCCCTGGAGACCTGCTCTAAATTCACTTGGATATTTGAGAATAAATTATGCTCACTGGCAGTTTCTGCAAAACACGAAAAAGCAGTCACCCAAAATCTTCTAAGCAACTTAAAAGAAAGATTAAGTTAAATGAGAACACTGTCTGATCATGATAGCCAGTCAACAAATATTTGTAACTATCTCTTCCCTTGCAAAATAATCACAAAGTATAAATGCTTAAAATCTGCTCTGTAAAGAAGTAAGAAATCTTTCCTTTTCTCCAGTAAAGTGCTTCCCAACCTCCTTTGATAATGCCCTGTTTTTATTTTCCAATAAAATAAAAACCCTTGCCTGTGATATAGTTTAAATGTCTGTATCCAGTGCAGGGCATTCATGAGTCACAATTGTCCATCTTCTGACCCCAATTAAAAATGCCTGTTCTAGGATATTAACTTTGATTTAATCAAATAGTCTTACAAAACAAATTCTTTGGGTACCTAGTAGCTGAATGAAGGAAAACTACAGCTCTTTGTTTTAATACATTCCTGGAAATGCAGTATCAGATCAGGACCCCAATAATAGAGAATTAAGTAAATTGCACAGAAACTTCACTAAAGGGTTGATTTGACTTGCCAAATACTCAGTACAACATTTTAAAACACACAAGTACAATAAATGTTTACCTCTGTCTTTAGATCTAAATGGCACAGAAAAAAATAGAATCATCAATTTATTAAACTTCTTTTACATAATTGTAGTCATACTATTTTTACATATTACATTGTTAGGCATTGAACACTAGATCAAGAAACAGAATGTTCTAGAAAATATACTTTGACTATTAGTAAACATGAACTTTTTCCAAAAGAAGTTTTTTTTGTGTGTTGACTCAGAGGTGGCTCCCTGGAACTGAGAGGTTCCATAAAGTCCCCCAAGTCCTCATTCTTTAATCCTGAGTTTGGCTGGATTGCCACTGGCAGTCAACTTGTTCACATTTCAAACTACATTAGATCCTTTCATACAACTGCCACCATGAAAAAATTGAGTTGACTCTGACCTACTCTTCTTTTTTTAATGCTATGCTTCAACTTAGTCTATATTAAATCATTCCAGAGGGATAAAGGCTCCTAAGTATTAACTGTTTAGGTGAATATGTCCTATGGGTAGGCATGGGGGGAAAATGTTACTGGGAAAGGTGCTGAGTTTGCATTTTGGCTCCCACCATTGCTTCGTGATTAACTCTAAAAAGTTACCTTCACCTCTCTAAACTTCTGCATCTTCTTTTCTAAAATACCACCAGCCTGCCTTCCCAGATTGGTTTAAAAGCCCATAGCATGTGGAGATGATATATTGTAGAAGCACTTAGTAACTGTAAGTGCTATGAAACTGCAAACTCATTTGTTACTTCCTTTTGACCTCCAGAATTCTTCAGGTGTGCACCACTGATAATTGCATATAATTCAGAATTTAACTGTTAGTGTATTTAATTCAAATGAAGTTTTCTCTTATTAATATTTTTAAACTGCCTTCCTGTCTAGTGTCCTTTCTATTAATGTTACCTCTCTTCTATCCGACAAATCAGAATCTGAAAGCTCAAAGATCATTTTATGTTTTTCTCTCTCGTTATCCTTGAAGCCCTTCCTTATTCCAGGCACCCTGTTCACACCATTTCCAGGGTCCCTTCTTCCTTTCTCTCCAAATTTGCTCACATCTCACCATGTTACAAAGACTACTTGAGCCTTCATAACTCACAATATCTAATTCCCTGAAGTAACTTTGAATTGAATGGTCAGAGTCAATAATCAATTATGAACTAACTACCCCTTATCATTATGTGTAGCTGTGTTGTACTGCAATTAACTTGGTTCCTGTCATTTACATTTTTTAATTTTACTGAATTACTCGTCCATGTTGCTGAAGGCAGGAATTTCATCACATCCATTTAGTTTGCCCTAGAGCAATGGTTCTCAACCTTTTGCTTGGTAAAGAAACATCTGAAAGACATGTTAAAAGTTTTCCTGGATTCCACCCACAAAGGTGCAGTAAGATCCAGGTGGGGTCAAAATATCTGCATTCCCTACAAGTTCCAAGTGATGTTGATGCTGCATGATGCCTTCAGAATCTGTATAAGAAGCTATACATAAAAAGCAAATAGATATTTGTGGATACTCAGTAGTGGGATTTTTTAAATCTTTTTCTTCTATTTCAAACTCACATTCTTTCACTTTTTCTTTTTAGATTGATTTTGAAGATGTGATTGCAGAACCAGAAGGAACACACAGTTTTGACGGCATCTGGAAGGCCAGCTTCACCACCTTCACTGTGACAAAATACTGGTTTTACCGTTTGCTGTCTGCGCTCTTTGGCATCCCGATGGCGCTCATCTGGGGCATTTACTTTGCCATTCTCTCTTTCCTGCACATCTGGGCAGTTGTACCATGCATTAAGAGTTTCCTGATTGAGATTCAGTGCATCAGCCGTGTCTATTCCATCTACGTCCACACCTTCTGTGACCCACTCTTTGAGGCTATTGGCAAAATATTTAGCAATATCCGCATCAATATGCAAAAAGAAATATAAAGGACATTTCAAGAATAGAAGTATACCTAACTCTTTCGTTTTCCTTTTAATTTTCTTGGTGCCAATTTCAAGTTTCAGTTTGCTAGTATAGCAACAATATACAAATGAATTTTCTTGGTTCAGAACAAATATCCAGTTCATAAATGTTTTCTGAGCTATTTCATCTAATTTCTTTTTATTAGTCTGAATATTTTTAAACCCATTTAAAAATTTTTTCTTGTATTTTTATTTGTATGTGGATCATTGTTGATTAGCTAAGATATGGACATACTGAAAGGTAATTTGAGAGAAATACGAAGAACTGAAGGCGGGGGAAGAATCAACAGCTTTAACTGCCTACCTAAAATGTTGATCATTTTGTTTTAGGGGAGAATCCCAGGCTCTATAGTCACTGGGCATACAGGTATGTGGGCAAGTTTTAAGCAAATACTTTCCCTAACATCTGAAGTTTTAGTGGGTTGCTGTCATTCACTTCAATGATCCAGTGGGATCGCTGATCCTTACCAAGTTAGAAAGTAATCATCTGTATTCACCTGATCTGACTAATGCCTTACCCTTCTTAAAATTTTAACCCATGATACTTTCTGTGCCTGAATATTTGTTACATTGATAATGAAACTTAAGTGCCTTCCTGTGTTTCACATTTTCCTTTTCAAAGAGGGTCCAACTTACTCAGCCTGTCCCCAAGACCAAAAGTAGAAAATCCATTTCTATGTATTCCACATTTTCACTCTGAAATAAAGCTGAGTGAAGTTCATGTCTGCTCTTGACCACACAGCATCTTTATCCATAGCTAGTATGTTCGACATCAACCCCATGAAATGAATTAATGTGGACAAATGGAGCTGAGCCCTCTCTGGGTTAGCAGGAGTGGAAACCAACATTCTCTGCCTCTCATCAGCTGAATGAGGTCAGCATGTCCATTCAGCTTCATTTATTTTCAAGAATAATCACACTTTCCTGACTCCAAACTAATCCATCACTGTTGTGGTATAGTGGCTGAACATTGTGTTCCTTTTTCAGCTGATCAGTGGGCCTCCAGGGAAGAGTTGATAAAATGGAGGCCATTGTGTGAGCCTGTCAGAATTGTTGCAAATGTGACTGCTTCAAAGGAAAGCACTTGCGACCTTCTGTTATGCTGTGACATGTGGCCCCTCCCTCTGCCAGGAGCTTTGGCTCTAATTCAAGCATCATTTTGCCAGAGAGAATATGGGAGAGGGGCAGTAATAAAAAATTGAGGTAATTCTGCTGGAATAAGTTCAAATTCTTCTGAACTCAAACTGAGGAATTCTACCTGTAAACCTGAGTCATAAAGAAAGCTGCCTGGTATACCCAAAAGCTTTTTATTCCTCCTGCTCATATTAAGACTCTGCCCTTGGGGATTTTATTTTCATCTTTCAGTTATGCTTTTATTTTTTATTTTCATATACTTATTGCATACATTTCCTTTCTTTTCCCTCTCCAAGCTTTCCAGACACTTTAATTATCAACCTGTTAAATACTTCGTTTTTTGCATTTAAAACAGACACTGGCATGGATATAGTTTTACTTTTAAACTGTGTACATAAATTGAAAATGTACTATATTGCATACTTTTTTAAGTGTAAAGATATTTTTTATCTTTAAATGAAGAAAACCACTTGGGAAATTGCTTGTGATTCAATCTGTAAACTGTGTATCCCAAGACATGTCTGTTCTAGTCCCTTGTGGAAAGCAATTGCTGGTCCAAAAGATTGCTGAAATTTTATATGCTTACTGATGTATTTTACACTTTTTTATCCTGCATGTCCTATAACAGTTACAACTCTGCACAATAAAAATGTTTAACAGTTTAACAGACCTCTTTATTTTTTTCTCCCAAAGAGGTATGCACTATTTGTGTGTATGAGTTTGTGTATATATGTAATGAACACACACATAGTATGTGTATACATCTTGAGTTTGTGGTGAGAAATGTTCTTCAACTTTTCAGTTATTCCAGTCATGTAGGTGGGATCTTTCTTCTAAAGCCATCACAATTCAAGATTTAATTCAGATAAAATTTAATTAATAACAAAGTTAATGATTAACTTTCTTAATCATTAGCTTTCATGAAATAATGAGTTACTTTAGCTAAGGTACTTAATAATAATCTTTAACTTTAACAATAATTAACTTTCATGAAGTATCACGAGACACTTCAGATAAAAATTAATAAGAATGATTTGTTTTCTTCCCATCCCCTGAGAATGTCTCTGATTTATAGCTGTATTTGGTTCTCCTATATTCCTCCTATAAGTGAAATCATCCGATATTTTTCTTTTTCCTTCTGACTTATTTCACTGAGCAAAATCCCTTCCAGCTCCATCCATGTTGTTGCAAATGGCATTAGTTTATCTTTTTTGATTGCTAAATAGTATTCCACTGTGTATATGTACCACATCTTCTTGATCCAGTCATCTACTTGGGGGCATTTGGGTTGTTTCCAGGTCCCACCTTTTATAAATAGTGCTGCAATAAACATAGGGGTGCAGGTATCTGTTCAAATTAATGTTTTTTGTGTCCTTTGGGTAGATCCCTAAGAATGGAATTGCTGGGTCATATGGTAGTTCCATTTTTAGTAGTCTGATAAATCTCCACACAGCTTTCCATAGTGGTTGGAACAGTTTGCATTCCCTCCAGCAGTGTAGGAGAGCTCCTTTTTCACCATATTCTCGCCAACATTTGTTGTTGCTAGTTTTTTAATGTGTCATTCTTACTGGTGTAAGGTGGTATCTCATTGTGGTTTTGACTTGCATTTCCCTGATTATGAGGGGTATTGAACATTTTTCATATGTCTGTTGGCCATTTTTATTCCATCTTTGGAGAAGTACTTTTTAAGTTCTTTTGCCCATTTTTTGACTGGATTGTTTACTATGTTTTTCTTGAGTTGTGTGAATTCTTTGTATATCTTTGCGATCAATCCTTTATCAGTTGTGTGGAGTGCAAAAATTTTCTCCCAGTTGATATGGTGTCTCTTTATTTTGGTTAATGTCTCTTTTGCTGCACAGAAGCTTTTTAATTTGATGTAATACCTGCTGTTTATTTTTTCCTTCATTTTCTTTGCTTTGGGGGATGAGTCTTTAAAGATGTTACTGAGATGTATGTCTGTAGTGTTTTACCTATGTTTTCTTCAATATAGTTTATGGATTCAGGTCTTATGTTCAGTTCTTTTATCCACTTTGAGTTAATTTCGGTGCATGATGTGAGGTAGTGGTCTAGTTTCATTCTTTTGCTTGTGGTGGTCCAGTTTTTCCAGCACCATTTATTGAATAAACTTTCTTTGTTCCATTGTATGTTCTTTGCTTCTTTGTCAAACATTAGTTGTCCATATGTGTGTGGCTTTATTTCTGGCCTTTCTATTAATTTCCATTGGTCTGTGTGTCTGTTTTTGTCCCAGTACTATATATACTGTTCTAAAAATTATGTCTTTGTAGTATAGTTTGAAGTCTGAGGATGTGATACCTCCATTCTCCTTTGTTTTAGTCAGGAGAGCTTTGGCTAGTCAAGGTTTTTTGTGGCTCAATATGAATTTCATCAACATTTGTTCTATTTCTTTGAAGAATGTCATTGAGATTTTTATTGGAATAGAGTTGAATCTGTAAATTGCTTTTGGTAGGATGGCCATTTTGATAATGTTAATTCTTCCAATCCATGTGCAAGGGATGTCTTTGCATTTCTTTTATTACTTTTAACAATGTTTTAGAATTTTATTTGCATAGGTCCTTCACCTCTTTCGTTAGGTTTATTCCCAAGTATTTGATTTTTTTTCACTTATAAAAGGGATGGTTTTCTTGATTTCTTCTTCTTCAGATTGGTTGTTTGTATGTAGAAAGGCTACTGACTTTTGTGTGTTGATTTTGTATCCTGCTACTTTACTAAACTGGTTGATTGTTTTGATTAGGTTTTCTGTGGAGTTTTTAGGGTTTTCTATGTATATTATCATATCATCTGCAAATAGTGATAGTTTTACTTCTTTTTTCCCTATTTGGATTCCTTGTATGTCTTTTTCCTGTCTTATTGCTCTGGCTAGTACTTCCAGTATTATATTGAAGAGCAGTGGCGAGAGTGGACATCCTTTTCTTGTTCCTGATATTAAAGGAAAGGCTTTCAGCTTTTCACCAATGAGAATAATATTGGCTATGGATTTGTCATATATGGCTTTTATCATGTTAAGTATGTTCCTTCTATCCTGAAAATTTTAAGGGCCTTCATCATAAATGGATGTTGAACTTTGTCAAATGCTTTCTCATCATCTATTGCTATGATCATATGTTTTTTATTTTTCTTTTTGTTGATGTGCTGGATTACATTAATTGATTTTCAGATGTTGAACCATCCTTGTGCCCCTGGAATAATTCCCACTTGATCACAGTTTATTATCATTTTGATGCATTGCTGGATTCTGTTGGCAAGGAGTTTATTGAGGATTTTTGTGTTGGAGTTCATTAGGGAGATTGGCCTGTAGTTTTCTTTTTTTGTGTTGCCTTTGTTTGGTTTTGGTATTAGTGTAATGTTGGCTTCATAGAACGTATTTGGTAGTATACCTTCTTTCTCAATTTTTTGAAAAAGTTTGTGTCGGATAGGCAATAGTTCATTTCTGAACATTTGATAGAATTCATTTGTGAAGTCGTCTAACCGAGATTTTTTTTTAAGAGGCATTTTTCAGTCACAACATATTTTTGGCCATGGCTAAGTTGACATTAATGGTTTCTGTATTAATAAGAGTTCTCCAGAGAAAAGAACCAATAGGAAATGTGTGTGTATGTGTAAGTATGCACTACTATAATCATATTTGCACATTTTTCCTGAGCAGAATCATGAACATAATAACTTCCACTAGCATCTATCATTAATACTAAATTATTTGATCCTGAGATATGACATATCCCTAACTATTCTAGAAAATGGCAAAAGTAATGACAATTAACATTCCCACCAGCATTTAGAACTAAAACATTCCTTAGATTTTGCTAACCAAATGGGTATAAAATAACATTTTACTTCAGTTTTGATTTATAACCTTCTGATTACTAAAGAGGTTGAGTATCTTTTTTTTATTTATATGGCTATATGGGTTTCCTCTTATGTGAAGAGATTTCTCAGTCATTCAGTAATTTTTTTTTTAGGATGGTTTCTTTTTTATCATTGATCCAGAGGAATCTGTGACTACTTCATTGTGAACAACCATGCAAATTCTGTTCTATCCTACCTACTGTCTCTGTTTCCACTCTTGTCCCACATCTAACACATTTGCCCATTTAGCTGTACAGCAAAACAAATTGTCACATACACCTACAGAGAGAGAGAAAGAGAGGGAGTGAGAGCGCTTAAAATCCTCCAGTGACTTACTGAATTCAGTATAAAATTTAATTTATTTACTAAGACTTATAGTCTTAATAATCCAATCCCTACCCATCTCTCACATTTTAGCCAATACCAAAACCTCCTCACTATGTGAGTTCTAGACATACTGATGCTCTTTCAGTCCCACCCAGTTACAGGATTTTGCACAGCTGTTTCCTCAAACTGACATACTCTTATATCTTTCTCTCTACTTTGCTACCTCTTGTCATCCTTTTCATCTCAGCTTTACTAACTCCTCAATGAGAGGTTTTCTAGGTCCTTTATCTGAAGCAAGTCCTCCCTTCTTAATCTTTGCCTTAGCTTCATGCCAATTTCCTTCACAGCACATATCATATTGAATGATTATTTTATTTGCAAGTTTATAATATTTGAGTCTTTATCTCCCTTAAGATGTAAACTCCATAATGCAGAGATTTTACCATATAGGCAATTAATATTTGTTGGAGGGAGGGAGGGAAGGATGAGTAGTGAGCCCATCCTGGAAATTATGAAAGTATCAGGTGCCAGACTTCTACATTACCACCAATAGTGTCGTGAAAACAGTCACAGAATCCATTCTGAAATAACTCACAACTAATCAGCAACATACTTGCTGTTTGTTTTCCTTTTTCCACTATCCTTTATTACTCCATGATTTTGCTCCCCCAGCAAAATTTTCTGTATCATGCCCACTTAAACATTTTAAGTGTCAAATCATGAGTCTCCCAATGAAAATTTTAGCAGATTTACATGGATACTTAATATATATTTCATCTTACTTGAGTAATAACAAACACATGTTGATACAGTTATTAAGGAAAAGGATGGTTTTCCAGCAGCTGCTGACTTCATCAATTCCACTATGAAATGAGTCACTCAAATATCCACAAAGTTAAAAAGTTACAAGTTAGTAAGAGGAATGTTTTCCTTACTGTGTCATGAGAGAGGGGTGGGAAGAGTTACACAGGAAAAGCAAATAAAATCAACTGAGAGATTTGATGCTATAGAAGTTGAGTAATTTACTATATAGCTAATTGGAATTTTAACAAAACAACTGAAAAACATGTGAAAACTGGCATAAAGGGTGGAGATTTTGCAACAGAAAGAAGATAGTCATTAAAAAAAAAAAAAGCAACAGCTGCCCGTTTGAATCATTTTATTAATGGGCAACAAAGAAACCTACTCCTCTCCATTTGTATTACTATGATGCCAAGTATTAATGAGGTAATAACTATGCCAGGCATTAGTCAATGTCCTTTCTGAAAGGATATTTATTTCTAAATCCTTCATCACATTGCACAACTCTTGGAAAAGGTAAGACTTAGTTACCTACCAAATCTAAGACACAAATTAAGTGCTCTATAACACAATTAAGTGCTTTGTGAAATGCATGGCACACTGTTCTCATGGATGAATATAATTTGACTTGCCACTGACTTTGCATTTTCACAGTGATTTTGTTCTTCAC